CATCCCAGCTACAATACTTACACTCCCACAACACAACACACAAAAACACATAGAAGTCCGAAAACAAAACAAAAGACAGGACATACAAGTCCAATTCCAAATTTTGAATACATTCAAACCCAGTAAGACGAATCTAATAGCTTTTATTGTAAAACAAATGATTTCAAAAATACACAGGAATTGTGCAATTGTGAAAATAGTGTTGAAATTGGGTATGAGTGGAAGAATAGATTTCGAATAGGGAGGGAGTTGTTTTTACTGTGAAGTGGAAGGAGATGAGTGGAAATGGGATATTGTGGAATGAATAGATCGAAGAGTGTTGTTTCCAGTGGAAGTGTTTTGTTTTTCGTTCTATTCATTTGGAATTTTATCTAGATGGGATAGAAAGAAATAGAGTATGTAGAAGATGATGATAGGAATGAAAATGGAAAAGCTAGCGATAAACAGTTTTTGGGTTATCATTTATAGTAATAATATGTGAAATGTGTATAATAGAATCGAATAATAGAGTTTGTGAGAAAGGTGGGTGTGTCGTTGAAGAACTGAGCAAAATAAGGTAGAATACATAATATATTTTATACGAACAAATAGAGATATATTCATATTCCACTGTTTCTAGGTTTTTGGATAGTTGGTGTCCAGTTTTTGTCGTTTTGATGCACTCTGAACCTATCAGAGTTTGTTATATTGCCAGAGAATACTATCCCTTATTCTAACCCATATAGTATCCCCCACCTGCCAAATAATGCAGAATATCTCCTATTTAAAGGAAGGATCGAATTGTACACTTCAATAGGGATACAAAGTGATTCACAATGTTGTTCTATTACGAGCATGAATAACAATAGTATACATAATACTTGCTGTTTGAGTTGGTTGATGAAAGTGAAATGCTTTGGTTCCCAACTCATTAGGATGAATAGAATTACTCACTAATAGCGATATCAGTATTGTTGATGATAAAGCTGAAATCCATAAGAATGGACTCTATGGGAATGAGTAGTTGTCCAATATCAAGCTGTGACACATATCTGGCTGATTATTTGTTGGAGGCAACAATCAAACTATTACTTTTCAGATATATATATGTATATATATAGAAGATAGACATTGATATCTATCTATCTATCTATCTTCTTGAATACCTTACTGAAGTTGTACTTCCAAGATATCGTGAATTAGATGTACACATTCGAATTCAAGGAGATCGGATTGTCATTCGCGTCTGTCAGTACCCAATCAATGGAATCTAGGTTCGATTGTTCAATCACATCGATCGATAGGTTATTCCAGGTGATCATGTTGTTCAGTCCCATCGATACATGAATCAGGTTATCGATCAGCAGACTCTTCAGACCGAATGTTTGAGCATTGATACTACTGTACACTCGGATCATACTCATGCCATTCGTGATGTCGTAGGCTCCTCTGTATATTAACACTTTTTGTGGTGTGTTCCCTGCATCGATTTATATCTCTTGATAAGTCGGTACGTTGTGCAACACGAAATCGGTATAGAGTGACACAGACGAGATGTATCACTGATCGAATGATAGAGGATTGTCCAGCTTCACTTCCTTCTTCGTAGTATTGACGAACACTTCCATCATACTCAACTGGTTCATCGGTAGAATTGAGGATGACACTTGATCAAACACATCTTCGATCGTCAACTGGAGTTCGAATTCGCCGTTCAATCGCATGATATTACCATCCATATCGCGGAACAGGAACATCAATCGGTCGAATCGGGTTATCATCGGAATGCAGATGTCTTCCACGGTGCGGAGGTAATTAACCTCGGGATCGTCAATGATCATTGTGGTGAGCAGATTGTTGTTCTGGTTGGCAATCTTCAGATCGGAGGAACGCACGATTGTCGAGTACACTTGGATCACTTGGCGATTTCGCGTGATATCAATCACGTTCGATCCATAGAACGAAGTGGATAGAATAACCATTCGCCCTTCTAAACCGAGGATTTCTCGAATATCTAGAGCATTGGTGAAATCGATGGTGTGTGTAGATTGGATATAAATACACCCATAACTCGAAGCCTTCGTAGATATCGAGAATGTAGTATCAGTCATGGTGTTGAGGATGGCAATGATTTCAGGGATCGTGTAGTATCCAGGAGGAATCGTTATCTCTTCGTCATTCGAGTTGGTGACCACATTCGTAGAATCCACATTGTTGAATATAACTGGATTGAGTCTGAACAGGACAGTCATAGAAGTGTGTAAGGATTCTTGTACTTGTACGAGCTGAACCACGAGAACGTTCCATTACTAGGTGAGTCTTGGATGAGCATGGAGTACTGTCGGGGAATTGGAAATTTACCGTTCATAGCTTGCTTCACTTTATCATACACAGCGAAGTTGAGGAAAATAAACTAATGTTAACATTTCTCGCCTTATTTTTAAGAAAGGCAAAAAACAAGATGTCCGTGGTCATATTGCGTGATCAACGCTTGCAGTCAGTTGAAAAGGGTTTGAGGCTAACTTTGGCCGAAATTGCCAGTCTAGTTTCCCGAAAAATCCTCTATTCAAAAACACTTAATAGTAATTCAGTATCATTGTTCAAATGGTAAAGAAGAACATCATAATAATCAGGCAGGATTGATATTTTGATAATTATAGAATCATGAATTGTGATCAAGAATCGGTTTAAAACAAACAATCAATCAATCAATCAATCAATGGAAATGTTCCTAAACAATGACGAATCACTGAACAAATCAAATCAAATCAATCAAACTATACTCCAAATTGATTTCGATCGAACTTTCTCGAATGAACCAGGTAGGTTGACATTTCGAAGATTTGGAATATCTAAATACTATCAATATTCAATATTCAGAAATACTTGCCAATGTCACTTCACGAGGATTAAGGAAACTAATTCCTTCAGAAGTTATTGATGTTAGATTTGGAAGATCTACAAAACAAATCATAACCAATCAATTCATTATTACTTCGCATTATCAAGGAACAAGAATCATCATCATTTCTTCCTTTAAGTGCACATTGACCGAGTTGAATGGATTGTAATGATGGAAGATCTATATCAATCATTCTATTTCAACCCTTCAATACTTTCAATTATTGTTGATAAGGAATTACCAAATGCCCAATTACCTAATGTAATGGATTGTAGATTTGGAAGATCTATGCATCATTCAAATATTCAATATCATATCAATACCTCGAATCACAAATGAACTGTAACAGAAATTGTCTGACCTACTTCCAATTGTCCCAATTTGAATGGATTGTAATTGTGGTAGATTCTTCAATTCAAAGTCGCCTCCAAAATCACTGAAACTATATTCACCAATTTGAATGGATTCCAATGATTCACAATTCAATATGTGGAATGATTTCGATTTATCAATTCCACAATCATTCTTTTTCTGAGTAAATGAATTGTTTCCGATTTTGATCGTTTTCAATCGATTCAATCCATCGATTTGGAATGTTTGCACTGATCCAAAACAATAATCACCGATTTCGATTGATTCCAAATTATACAACAATGAAACATTCCAATCAACCAATACACAATTGTCACTCAGTTTCAAATGTTTCATTCCGATTTTCAGTGGTTTGCTTCCATTTCCTTCATATACGACGTCAGTATCACTTTCTATACCATTGCACCATTTACATTCTTTCACTAATTTACCATATCGATCATACACTTTTCCTCTTCCAAATCGATTATCATCACACCAATATCCTTCATATTCAATCAAACAATTATTATGATAACTCGTTCCATATCCAAATCGTTTCCAATTGATCATTATGCCCTGGTACATCAGTAATCCATCATCATCATACATTTCACCATATCCATATGGATTTCCAAACTTGTTTTCTGTCAATACCAAGCCTTCAAATCGACTTCCATGATCCAAATCCACGATTCCTTCTACTACTACTTCTATGGATTGTTTTTCATTATATGAAATAGCACCAATTTGATGATTTCCAATCACTTAAAACACTTTCTGCTCATTGACCATAAATCCTTGATTCATGAATACTCCATTATTGAATTGCAATACTATACATTCTCTATTACTCAGTATATATAAAAGTCAACCTTCTAGTTGCATCTCTTTATCCAAATTCACTTGTTTATTCTGGATAAGGAATGTACCATCATAATACTATTATCAAAAACAAAATAGACATAATCAGTAAACAATACATTAAAACATAATAATTATCTAACAAATAAATAATCATAATTAGGTTTTGTTAGGATATAATTGTTTATTATAGCAAACAAGTGATTTAGAAATGCTATTCCGTTGATTCTGCGGTATGGGGAGAGAGAATAGTATCGCACACTTTTCACTATGTAATTTTAATCACAATTCTGTTTTTTGCTCAACCTTATATGATTATGCTGATATATTATGGCTGCATTAGTAGTGCGTGATTGATAAACGGATATCACTATTGCTTGCACTTTTTTTGAGTTATATGTATATGTTTGAATTGGAGAAAGTCATCTATAGACATCCATAGAGATGTTTGCCTCCCAAATTCATTCATTACATACAATAAAATTAATCTTCGTACCTCATACTATCTACAGTAAAACACTCACCTTTAGAATCATTCAAAATGGCCATTTTCAATACAGAGTAATAACCTGTATCATATTAATGATTGCAATTAATTGGAAGTGAGGAAATCGCTCGTACGTTAATGAAGTCATATTTTACGACAACCATACCGGTTGTGTTTACCCATTAGTCCCAATATCATTATGACTCCCGTATCCTGTCTTTCAAATACTAAACAAATCAAAATGCGTAACAAAACATAAGTTAGCTCTTATGCAAAAATGACCAATACTATCCATTCTTCCAAATCAGCTTTTGTTTGGTTGTTTAAGAATTCTGTCCATAACAGACGTTTCTCAAGAATCAGACAACGTATGGTAGTTCATTTTCCCTCCATTTCCGAAAATGGCTAGTTGTCGATATGAGCGAATCAGAAGAAAGCAGTATGGTCCTTCTAATGACAGCAGAGAAGTAATCCATTCATTTGATCGTGAGATTATAGGAAAGTGAAGGAACTTGTTCTGTACATCTCGGAGTTGCAGAAAGAAAATGCCAGTTTAAGAAATGACATTACTGCCGTAAAGCAATCATTTTCTGAGGAGTTAGAGGATTTAAAACAAAAGTATCGCTTTTCTTTTTTGAATAAGTAGGTGTGATTCTTCAACAAAGCAGTGCATTGAAATGGAGAGAGAAATGAATCGAATGAGTTCCATTCATCAACAAGAGCTATGTGATGCCCAAAACGAAATCTGTATTAAAGAGTGAAACCTTTGGTAATACGTAGTATACAAATCTCAAGAATTAACAGCCCTCCAACACTTGTGTGAAACGAAGACAAGTGAAATAGGTTCCCATATTCCCTCCGCATTAACTGTAGCTTCTCTCCAAGAAGCAATCGCTCTCTCCAAGCCTGTGCTTCCTGCAGAAGCATCGGAATCGAAGAATTCTCAGCAGTTTTCTTACGTCGATAGCAAACTCCAAAAAATCCAGCGGCGCTTGCTGGAAGTGCACTCCGCCTGTGAGCAAGTGGTACGACTGCACGTTCACGGTCATTCAAAGGAGAACCAGTCGAAGCAGCAATCGGAGTTGCTTGGTCTGTACAAGCAGAACACGCAGTGGTTGTTTCAGCTGCTCGTCGAGGCCATTTCCCGCATTGTGCAACTGCAGACTTGTTCTGCTTCTCCCCTTCCAAGGGAAGAAGCTCCGTCCAAAGAGCCCATGGCACCGGCGATTCCTTCTCCACTACAGGAGAAGCCGATCGAAGAAGACGAGGCTCCCAAACTATCCGAGCGATTGGACTGTTACGAGAAGCAGATTCAGGCTCTGGAGAAAATCATTCAGCAGCAAACCGAAACGATCGAGCAGGCTTCGAGCAAAGAAGCGAAGGCAGGAATGGAAAAAGAGCAAAAAGAAGGAGAAGATCAACACGCTGAAGCTGCTGCTCTCTTTTCTGTAGCCCTCGATGGGACGTTTTCAAAATGTAGGAAGCCGTAGCGACGGTGAAAGCGAACCTGGAGACTCGGATTCGACTTTTGGAAGAAGAGCTTGCGCTACTGGTACTGATTATGCAATTCATTCGATGGTGTCTGTAGAAAAAGAGAACCCCTCCCGTGCTTCTTCAGTTGGATTCGCCCGTAGCCAAGAGATCTAGTCATTCTGAAGCCACTCATAAGACTGGAGAATCCTATCCACCTGTAAAGAAGCAAGAAAAGACCCATTCCGATGATTCGAAAGTGGAAAAGTGTGCTGCTTGTCACGAACCTGCTTATGGATTCATGGTAGGACGCTCTTCGAGTGAATGATGGAGTAGATCACATGTAGTAAATGCGACTTATCGTTTCATATTTCTTGTGTTCTGTCAAAGAATGAGAATGTATCTGGTACGGAGTGTTCGTTGAACGTGATTGATTAGATCTGCTCAGAAAGAGCAAGCAATATCTGTGTGAATCATGTAGGCAGAAGTGAGGTTGTTGAGCTCTTTGTTCTATAAATTACTCGATTAATATCATTAAGTTCACAAACAATACCTAATATTACAAATGTGAATGCAAGAATTAAGAATATTACAAATTATTGATATTTATTGAAAAGAATTAATGTGAAAACAAATCTCACATTTATTAATTCAATTCTATTATTTGCTATTTACAATTTCTATTATTCTAACAAATCTGTTTTGTTATTATTTACTTTCTCCATATATCTGATTAAAATTACTTTACTTTCCTATCGATTCTCCTCATTTTAATTCAAATACATTAATTCTTGTGCTATTTCCTTTTCAAATTATATTCCAATATTTAATTCATTCCATGTCTTTTATTATTCTTGTGTTGCTTTTACTCTATCCTTTTTGTTCAGGAACGCATTCTCTATTGTCTATTACTTGTAGCACGTCATTTAGGTAGTTGTCTGTTCTTCAGGGCAAGTGCATTGTATAATGGTTCCCAAACGGTAGAGTACCATGTTACAGCTGTAGAAATACTATTTTCGTTCAAATTGCAGGATTGCCAAACCATTATCGATTCTCACATTTCTGGTTATTGTTTTTGCGGAGAAAACTGGCGGTCATCCTTATTAAAGATTAATCATCCTCCTACGACCTGTTTCCAGGAATGTCGGAGTATGGAGCGTTTTTACCGCTTTCCTACTTTTAGAATGTGTTGGCTGGAGAGCAACAGAAGGATGCTCACCCTATTCCAAACGGGATGAAACGCATGATCTTCCCTGTGAAGCTGTGGTCCCATCGTCATTGCCGGGATATTGCTTGTGCGAAAACGGGAGACGCACAGCTTTTTCGGATTGCCGTCACCCTCCTTTCACTTGTCAGAAGCTTTGTGCTTCCCTTCCTCGTTCGGATTGTCCTCTCTTTGATTCTTCTCTCCGCTCCAACTCTGCTAAGGGATGTTCTGGGAGTGTCACACTGCAGAATCGTATGAAAGAATCTGTGCAGGTGATGTGGGTGTCGGATGTTGGAACGGAGGCATTGCTTAGCGAAATCCATCCGATTGGATCCTACACCGTACTGTCTATCGCTCTCCCATTCCCCTTCTAGATCTCTGGAGTCTGCGTTCCCTTCAGTTTTCGCGTGTACGGCCGCAATCATAAGCTGCTGTTCCAGCGATCTTTACAGTCAGCGGACTCGCTCCATTTTCCAATCACCGATTGCTATGGTACATTTGGCGGCGTGGAGCCATCCAGAGGAGCCTCAGCCCTTGGCGCAGGCGCTTTCCTATTCCCTCCGATCGAAAGGAGCCTCCATCGACTTCCGCTGGCCGCTGCGTTCTGAAGCGAAGCAAGCCCGCGACGAGCGTTTTACGATGGGAATCAGTGTGGAATCGATGTACCGAGATCTCAACCAGACATTCAGTTGTCCCAGTTTTCGATTTTGACCGTAGCGTGGTCGCGCGATATCGACTGTCCGTATTGCAAGGCGGAGCTCAATCGCAATGGCCTGCCGTGTCGTCGCTGTAACGGGAAGGGAACGGAGCGTGTGGCGCATCGAGGCGTGACCATGGAGTTTGAGTGTCCTCTCTGTCATGGAGTCGGTCGTGTCTCCAAAAGAAGCTCTTTTTCGTGCCCATACTGCAATGTTCTCTTTTTTATACGGCCTCGGTTGATCGATAGAATACGCATGTTCTCCACGAAGTGGTGATGCAATCGAAGCTGATCAAGGAAGGCACGCCCGATAGGTCTCTGATTCGATTCTCGGGAGAAGGCCATTCGCATGGCGACGTCGTGTTCACGCTACGCTATGTCCTACCCAGAGGGTTTTCGATTGTGGATGGCGATCTTCACTATCATCACATGTTGACCCTGCAAGAATGGAGTCGTGCGCAGTCGTTTCTCATAGAAACGCCGATCGGACACAAACTTGAGGTTCCTTACCAGCCCACAGCTGCCTATCCGAGCTCTGTCCGTTTGAAGGGAGAAGGTCTTCCCATTGCAGGCCATCCTGTCCACTGCGAAGGGTTTTTCGTGACAAACTCCCTTCGAAAGGAAGACACACGACCTCGCCGATGTGATGAAAAGATCCCTTCGTATCTGGAGGGCTACTGTCTCTGTGATGGAAGGAAGATCGCGATGGAGAATCCCGGCAGCTTGTCACGGCGCTTGATCAGTTGTTATGACCCAAGTCAATAGATGGGAAGAGAAGATAATGATTAGGTTTATGCGGAACCCTTTCTCGCAGTGATCTCGTCGTCACGTTTTTGATAGATGAGATGATGGAGAAGAAGCTCTGGCCTCTTTGTTGAACAAACAACCAAAAGGAAAAAAGCAATCCACCCTAATGAGCACTCTAAAGCTAAAGAATCAGCATGTGGGCTCGCCGATTGCTAACACCCAACTTCGGTAATATGGTGTTCTGTGTGAAACGAATGGCAGTAATAACACCAGCCCCAATAATTCCAGCCACGCAGGCACCTCGAATACCAGCTACAGTTCAGGCCACTTCTTCCGCAAACTTACCAGTCGACTTAAAAACAAATCCCGTTGTGAAACCACAAATGATAGGTCCCAAATAGTCATGACGAGTGGTGTAGGTATCCAACCGCAGGTAAGGTAAGGCAGTATTTGCCAGACCGTACATCCACACTAAAGTGAACGGATAAAAATAAGCACGTACTGCAAACCCCAAGGTAATTTCCGAGAGTGGTTCCATACTTGGCCCCATTATTAAGCATACTGTTGAGACGAATTTTGAAAACAGGGCTGGGAGATAATTTGAGACCCTTTACTGATCCATACAGGCTTCCTACCAAAAGGCCTACCAATTACGAATTACAAAAACTGCTACCCGAAATATATACCATTGCTACATTGTGACTATTCGCTGTGGAGGCTTTGTTATTTACACCTTGATCAACGTAATCAGGCTGTTCATTGTCTACTAAGCCAAGCATGGGGGACAGCTTAGAATAGTCAATGTCCTCATCAATATCGAAAATAGACGGATTAGGTCTACTCATTTTTCCCTGCCACTTTTTTGTTGACCACACAGTAGAAACAGGGAAGTAAAAACGGGGAACTGGACGTTTTCTGAAAAAGTCGAAAACTTCGCGAATTTCCTTTTGGCTATTCACACTTTGGGACCAATATCCATTTTCGCATAACCTCCTTTTGATCACACGACAGGAATTTTAGGGAGTTGTCATTATTCACGTGAGACCAACAATGGAATTTATGCCGTGAGTCAGCAGTGCCGTTAAATTATGATCTAGAACGCTTTCCGAAGATCAATTAGAAGTTATCCATGATCTTTTGTTGAAGAGTCCTCCCGGGGAACTCTATGTCATTCTGGATGGTAATCACGGATACAAACTTGACTATGTTATAGAACTAAAGGATTTGCTAGGTGGTGTCGATTTACCTTCAGGCCCTATCAATGAGTTTTTAAAGGAGTACAATCTGTGTCACAACGTGCTAGTCGACGTTCCCAATCAGAAACGGCCGCTTCTTCTCGTTGGGTCGTTAGATGATGAGACGAACGTTTATCGGGATGTGTTGAAGGAGAAATCCTACAGGTTTGATCACCTAAATAACAGCGTTACTGAGGAGGTATCTTTTGAAGAAGCTCCTACCTACAGTTCTCAAGTCCTGCAGTTGAAGAAAGCACTGATCGATGAGTGCAGAAAGTACGTGGAGCATCGTTTCTCCAACCGATCGAGTGCTTTGTTTTGGTTCTTCTCTATATTTTTATGGATAGTGTTGGATGTGATGGCGACCACTTCGATATTCTGATTGTTGGGGAGCTAATCAAGCTCAGCAGCTACTATAGTGGACGCTGGGTAAGTCAATACTCTGTGGATATGACGGATTCTACGATTCACGTAGCACACAGACGCTGATGTTGAGACGTCGTAGATTACCGGAATCGTATCCATCGCCTCCCATTACTTTGAAAACGGAAATGTCCGTATGAACGTGCGACGTGAGATGCCTCCTATTCAGCTCTCTCTTTCCAACGGCGTTGCGACCAAGTTATTTGAAAGGATTGCGGCGTTCGAGGACGAGATCCAGGAAGGCTTGAACGAGATTTTCACATCGCTCAAGCAGGATGCGCTAAAGGTAGGAATGGAAATTAGGTGAGGATGCAGACGTTCCGCAGACAGCTTCCGCGGACTCGCCAGCACTTTCAGTGGAATGTGAATGCCCACAAGATGGCAGACACGATGAAAGGAATGAACAAATAGTCCAGTTAAGTGTAATGTACTATGGTAATACGAGTTATTTTTTGTAAGAAACAAGGGTAAAAGGACGTTACTTTACTTTTGGCGTTGAGAATGCAACATAGGGCTTCAACTACGAGTTACCATAATTCTGACGTATCTCCTACCTTAAAGTTGGTAAGGTCGGGAACATCAAATACAACCGCTTTATCCTTTTCGCAAATATAACCTCCTATATCTTACGGCCTGAAAAACCATCTCCCTACCATGTGAAGTGTGTCTTCCAGTAGGTCTACAACCATTTCCTTTATAGTACTCTCTATTTCCTCTTTTTGGCGAGAGAGGCGTGTTCTTCGGGAAGGAGGACCCCAAAGTCATTTTGTTGTATCGTAACTACAAATCAAGCATATACGCCTCATCTTACGGCGCCAACCATTGGTTTCATGGAGGACCTGGTAAGAAAGGAGACAAAAGCATTCATGATAAGAATAATAATGGCGATTATGTATTGAGAGTGAGTCGGTAAGATTGTATCAAACAAAACAGTCCAGAGTGTATGACTATAAAACGGCCGTATCATCTAGTTTAGCAAGTGGAGAGGATAGAAAAGGAGGAGGAAATAAGGAAGAGGATAAAGGGGGTGTATGAAAAGGAAGGCAGGGGGTATAAACAAGATGACAGGAAAGTATCAGCCATACAACAGGAGAGTATTAGCAAGATGACAGAAGGGGAAGCAAGTCATGCAAAGAGTTGGTATAAAAATGAGGAGCAAGCTTGTCATCGCACGCTTTCATATCGCTCTCTGACGTGACTCCCGAAAAAACGAGAAGAGAAGAAATGCCATTTCTCCTAGCAAACACAATGTCGGTATCCAGACGATCCCCTACCATTAGCATATCGGAAATCTGGATTTGGGGATGGTGCAGCCGAATAATATCGATAAATGAGCGGTTTGGCTTTCCCACGATGCAGTCCGGCTTCTTTCCACAGATCGTTTCAATGGCCGAGACAATGCATCCACTTCCTCCTGCGATGACACCTCCAGGATAGGGAAACGAAGCGTCTGTGTTCGTTGCAATGAAAGTGCATCCAAAGTCTCGGATGTAGGAGCCCGCTCGACTTAACTTCACATAGTTGATGGATCGGTCCAATCCGACAACAACAGTTCGGACATTTGTGTTCATATGCTCTAGAGCGGAAATGTCATGCTGATCATTGTCTTCTCTTCCATGGCACTTGATACCAACGGCTTCCAGTTCCTCAAAAATCCCTTCTTCACCCACAACGTAAACTTCTCCAGGATCTGGCAGTGTAGTCAGATACTGAGCAGTGGCATAGGACGAACTACTATGGATTGGATCTGGCTATTATACGTTAAGATCTCGTCGAGTGAGGAGTTTACTCCAAAGTGTCGCAGTTTTTTCAACACCTCTTCCCTGCTCTTGGTAGAGTTGTTTGTCTACACTGGAACTCACCGTGGTTAAAGATTACCACATAAAAGACGAGTTTTCCTATTTTCTTTAAATAGTTGAGTGTTTCGATGGATCCCGCGATGGGCTGATTCCCTTTCCAGATCACGCCATCGCAGTCAAAGAGAAAAGCCTTTGTAGTCTGGAGTAACTTACTTCCGGCGGTGATGAAAGGTCGTCTCAGAATGCTCATTCAAGTGTCTAAAATAACAGAGTTCCGTGTATTTCCGTATCATCTCCATTTCTCTGTTTCCCCATTTCTCTATTCCAACGATCTTTTCTCAAAATATTCTTATATCTTACGTTAAGTAACATGCAAGCTTCTAGATTCGTTCGCGCTTTCGCTTCGGCTGCCAAGCCCAAGGTGAGAGTTGGAATCTCAGTTGAGAGGTAGATTCTTGTCACCCGACAGATCCCCGCCCCTGCCATGAAGATGCTCACTGACGCTCCCGTTGAGCTGATTCACTGGGACTACCCCGATAAGGCCATTCCTCGTGACAAGCTTTTGGAATGGGTCAAGGGCTGCGATGCTTGCCTGTGCATGCTTACTGAGAAGATCAATGCTGAGTTTTTCGATGCCGCTGGTCCTCAGCTGAAGACTGTGGCCACCATGTCTGTTGGTTACGACCACATTGATATTCCTGAGTGCAAGAAGAGAGGAATCTTCACTGGTCACACCCCCGGTGTCCTGCACCACACCGTTGCCGAGTTGACTGTTGCGCTTCTGTTGGCTACGACTCGTCGTCTGAGCCCTGCTATTGACTCTGTCCGCAACAACGGATGGGGAACCTGGGAGCCTCTGGGCTACTGCGGAACTGATATCTGGGGCAAGACTCTGGGTATTTGCGGTATGGGAGAGATTGGTCTGGAGGTGGTGAAGAGAATGCGCGGATTCGGATGCCGCATCATCTACAGCGATGTGCGCCGCAAGCCCGATTGGGAGAATGAGTACGGAATTGAGTACGTCTCCATGGAGGAGCTTCTGGCTCGTTCTGACTTCCTCTCGATCCACACTGCTCTGAACCAGCACACTCGCAAGATGTTCAACATGGAGAAGTTCAAGCAGATGAAGAAGGACGCCATCATCATCAACACTTCCCGTGGTCCTGTGATCAACCAGGAGGATCTCACCAAGGCCCTCCAGGAGGGAATCATTGGCGGAGCTGGTCTGGATGTCACTGATCCTGAGCCCATGAAGGCTGATAATCCTCTGCTGAAGATGCCCAACGTTGTGGTTCTTCCTCACATTGCCTCTGCTTCCATTGCTACTCGTACTCGCATGGGAGAGATTGCTGCTGAGTTTGCTCTTAAGGGTGTGCTCGGTGGTGAGGTGAATCCTCGTTGGATTGTCCCCGGCACTCAATAAATATTATGTGTAAAGCAAATTAAAGAGACACTGGTTTGTTTGTTGGAGACAAAGTGCAATTTGTATTTTAGAGGTTAGAGTGGAAGAATGTGGTGGTAGATTCGATTTTATTATGAAAGGGAAGAGTGAATCTTGATATTTCTGCTTCTATTGTATGGTTGTTACAACTACTGCTGCTGCTGCTGCTACTACTACTACTACTACTACTAACTACCACCACCACCATCGTCATTCAACAAACAATACAGACAAAAAGAGTACAGAAAACACCCAGACTCGCTACTACCGAAGAAAAAAGCATCGCCTAAAATAAGAACAAAAAAAGAGAGAAATAGCCTACTCGCGTCATACCCACAGATTGTATCAATGGAACATAGAGAGAGGACCCGAGAGCGCCTCCAAATTTCCCCAAGCACGCACAAATTCCATGACAGAGAGACAACTTCTTTTCGGGAAACACAAGGGAAGGGAGAATGTAGACAGTTGAACCCGGCCCACAGTTGGCGAAGAAGAAAGTCATGTAGAAAAAGAAAAAAATACCAACCTTCCTCTGCATGCTCATTGGCTCATTCCCGCCCCATCCAAAGCCAATTCCCACCAGCACAAACAGCAGACTCAGAATCAGAAAGCCCTACACATCAGATCGCGACACGAAACAAAAACAGTGACTTGGAGTTTTCGGACATTCCACTTCTTCAGCATAAACGACGCCGAGAATTGCCCAAAGATTCCAAAAATCCCAGCAATAATCAAGGGATACGTGCTTTCCAGCGGAGTCACATTGTTCATACCCAGAGATTTCATTACAAAGTGAGAATAAAAGGTCGATCCATAGGACTAGTTGTTACACACTCACCCCAAACCCACGTTCAAATCATACAAAAACCAGCAGATGCCTGTTCCCATAAAAGCCCGCACTAACGAGATAGGCTGGCTCTTTTGCGGAGCACTCTCGACATCCTTCACTTCCTCCCTTTGCAGAGGTGCGAAGGCGACAGTGCGGGAAGAAGAAAGCAGAATCAGAACCGAGCACAGAGGAGGCAGAGAAAGAACGAGCAAGACACCCTGGATAAGGTGCACCAATACTTCGGGAGATGTTTCGTTACCTCGAAGGAAAAAATAAAACAGCACTGGCCCCACTAACCAGCTGCTTGATTGAAGAAGAAGTAAAAACGCTCCGCTGCTTGTCACCTCCGACTGGTTGAGGGAGCCTGAAGTACGCGTGAAAGCGATCGGAACGCTTCCTCCGCTCCCAATACCAGTGATAATTCTAGAAATACCATAAATGAACGGAACGACTCGCAAGTTTAAAAAGAACGACAGAAATCTAAGTTACAGACAGAAGAGAAACCTAACCCTAAAAGCAACCCACAAAAAGAAAGAGAGGAGGCGAGAATCATTCCACGATAGTAACCAAGCATGTCACCAAGATACCCAAACAGTAAAATGCCGACGATTGACCCATAAAGCCAACCCGACGCAATGAAAGAGCGACCGGAATCGTCAAGCTACCTTATTACTCGACGAAATTTGTATACATCACCACAGATAGACTCGAGAATGCGAAGTACGATGGGAGTCGTACTAAAAAGAAATCCATTGGTTACAGAGCATAAAGTACTAACCACCTGCTTTGATGGAAGAGCCTTTCTCTCATCAAATGCTTCGTTAACTTCTGACCGGTTGAGTAACATTCTTTATCAAAAAGTACGATTTCCACTTTTTCCATTTTTTCCTGCTGCCGATTCATGCTGGCGCGCGTCCTCCAAAATCCTTTGTCGTCTCGTCTTATTGTTACTCGCTCCGTCTCCGCTTTTTTCCAAAGAAGAGCTTTTAGTGAAAATGCAGAGTCGGTCGAGTATGAGATTGTCAAGAACATGGAAAGATTCCCTCTGTTTAGTGAGAAAATTGATGTAGAGCGTTTTTACGAGGGTTTATTGTAGTATGTGGGAAAGAAGGAAACAAGCTTGAAATACTTCAAGGGATCTGACTGGCTGAAGACAAGTGACAAGCTGTGCTTCAACGCCGATGCTGTGACTCTGGCGGAACAAATTCCCGGAAAGATGGATGAGAATAATAACTTTGTCGTCGCAAATCGCTTTGAAGAGCATATGCTCGCCACCACTTCCACTGAATCGCAATTTCAGACAATGAAAGGCGAGATGGATACTTTTCTTGCGTCTCAACCCTCTCTTTTTGTCCAGGATGGAAAGTTGGGGTCGAATGAACGCTGCGGGATTCATGTTCGTACTGTAACGAATGATCCTCTCACTGCTCTGATTCTGAAGTCTATAATGGTAGGGTGCTTTCTCTCTCTCTTTTTGACGTTATGTAGTTCCCTCTCCCTGAAGTCCATCCACCCAAGGAACGGAAGATGCGAAACAATCTGACGATCTATGTTAGCCGAGGAAACAACGCGCAAGCCGCAGGTCTTGAGGGACAGCTAGTCAGTCACGGTAACTACACCTTGTTAGTGAACGGAGATTATAGCATTCGCCAGCTCATCGATGCAGGAGATTCGATTTTTGGTTTTATGGATAGTCGATTGCCCACGGAGCCAACGAGCTTTATCACAAGAATAATCGAGACATTACGGATCTAGTGACAGGAGAGACATCCTCCAAGGATATCATTAACACCGTGCTGCTTCCTTGCTCGTGCATTCGCGCCAAGAATAATGTGAGCTCGTTGTTGTTCAGCAGCGACACGGATTTAAACGTGGTTTCGCACGAGCACCTCGATGAGATCCACCTGAACGCGTTTAACTCGGGTTCTCTTTACTCGCTCGATCACACGGTCATCGGCAACAACTTCATGGGCTGCTTATTCGGTGGCGTGCAGCTGAGCTCCAAAGTTGGCTCGTTGGTGCAGCCTACGCAATCGGTGTTTGTGAATGACTCGATTATGACAGCGACAAAGAACGATTCGTCGTGCACCTTTCCATCCACACTGCTCTTCATCCAGCACGCTACGGGAATGAACGAGATGAATTATGGAGCGCTTCAGAAGCTCGTGAAGAGCTGGAAGGTGGCAGAGGATTGCCAGGAGTACTTCATGGCATGGGCTAAAGTGTGCAAAGCAGAGTGCTTCAAGATCAGCTACACGATTATGAAGGATTTGATCGCCGAGATGGAGACGATCGAGTACAATGTGAAGGAAAAGTGGGCTGTTTTGCAACAAACAGACGGCAAGCCATAGACATACAATGATAACAATTATAGCAACATCAGTATTACTATTATTATTATTAATAATAATAGTAATAATAATTACAATATTAACAATCATTACAGTTAAAGCTCCACTCAGCTTTCTTTCCCCAAGAATACGACAATCACTGTCGTGTCATCGACCACCTTCTCCTCGTCCAACCATCGCTTCCTGGCATCATTACAGAGTGTTTCAACAGCATTCTACCCATCATATCCATCCCCCCATGTTCCCACCTCCGGGTCTTTACAATCCTGAATCAAACGAATCGCTTCCTTCGAGGAGATGAATTCCCATAAGCCATCCGATCCAAGGACAAGAGCTCGCTCATCATCCGTCAATTTACGCTCCGTTATCTCAGGAATCGAGATTACACCAACAGTATGTGCTACGGTATCGCACAAAGATCGTGACATTGCCAGACCTGGAATATTCTGGTCTGCAAGCCAAACTCGAGCAGGTCCGTCATAACCATCATCATATTCCATATTGAAGACGCGTCCTCCTGCCTTTACGATTCGTTCCTTTTCTTCAGGAATGGATGGTTTGTGGTCGCGTGTCAGATCTGTGACAGTGAAGTCATCTCCCACTTCGGTCACAATAATGGCACGCGAGTCTCCCACATTCAATGTGAGTAAATAATCATCACGAATAATACAAATCACTGCCGTCGTGCCACTGAAGTCAGTCTTTATAAACCGATCTATGTCTGAGGAACAACCTACACTTTCACTTTCTATGCATTCCTTTTCGGCTCGAAGGAGGGACTCGACAGCTGCAGTTTTCATGTCTGAAGTCCATTTTTCATGTTGCAAGAGATGCTTTATAAAGTGATCACTGATGAACTGAAAATAACACAACTCCCGCTACTCCTACCCCAGAAACATAGTGACCATGCTCTCCATGACCATCAAACGCACCCAGAACGAGAGACTTCGTTGCCTCGTCTTTGTGAATCAGCATCGTATCCTGATTCACCTTGCGTGGATTCTGAAAGATATAACCCTTTTGTGATTTTCCTGCATATACTCTATACATTTGGTCGTCTTTGGGGACAACAATATCTTCTTTACTCGTTGTGTCCAACTCTTTGTTTCCATCAAATATCCAATCATTTCCATCGACGGAGAGCCTTCTACGAGCAGCACTGACTTTCTCAGGAGACGGCTTTTCAGTTGGCATGTTGGCTGGTACCTGCAGATCTGTTGGTTTGGATGCTACAGGCTCGGGCTCCTTTTGCATTTCACTCGCCGGGGATGCTTCTACCTTCTTTTTCCCTTTTCTCTATATCTCATCGAAATCTTACACCAGCAACGGTAATTGAAGAAAAGAGCTTAGAGAACATGATTTATATGACAGGTTATAGGATATAATTTATATATAATCTAGAAAAATGTCCCAAACAAAAGATTGGGTTCGATTCTTCCTTGGCCGTATTGTTTATTACAATACACTAGTATTGAAATATCAATTTGATCAACTCCCATATTACAGTTTGTGGTACCGATATGATCTGTCTACCAAATGCGACTACTCTGAGTTCCATTTTGTAAATTTCCCTGTGTTGTGTTACTTGCTAGTTTATGTTCAAAATAATGAGATTTATTAGCAGATAAGCCTTTTTTGAATAAGTATGAATAATAAAGTAAGGTTTAGAAAACGGAGCATATCAATGTGTTAAAGTATTCTTTGAGAAGGGTTGGTATTATTATTTATAATGACTTGGTAGTGTGCTATCTAAACTATTGAACGTAGAACAAACTGACGAGTAACTGGTGGATAGCCTTCTTTCAAATAATCAAGGAACACTGATGAAGACAGGCGTAATTTAATCTATTGCTGGAGATAGAGCTGGCAATAATACTACGAGTATCAAAGCTAATTATTAGCTACCCAAACCGTTTCTTTCGTCATCATCATCCTATACGTCATTTCACAACCATAATTGTTGAAAGCCAAATATAGATGCGATTTAACCATTCTTACGATGATTGATTGTCTCGTCACCTTGATTTTCCCATAAACATTTGCGGTATGCGGTGTTACTGCATACAATCATCAAAATGAATGACAATATAAAGGATAGAGCGTTTGTATATAAGTACAATCACAATTCCCCTCATTCCTCTCCATTTTTTACATCTATTCAGACTCTATCAATCAATAAAAACAACACTGCATTATACAATTATAGCAAAAATAATCTAGAAACAATAAAGCATTCAATATTCTGTGTGTTATCTCCCAAATAATAATAATAAAGTAGAAAAAAGCGCCGAGAAGGTGGATCGAACACCTGACCTTATGATCTTCAGTCATACGCTCTCCCAACTGAGCTATCTTGGCTCTTGCTCCACCTCTCAAAATAAGGTATATATATACTATGTTCAGGCATATTTTGAAACTCATAATCTATAGACACATTCTTGTTACGATGTCGATGATTCATCACTCTTCACCACCAATTTGCAACTTCATACACTGAATTCAATTTAAATCAGAACCGAGAATCAAACAATTTACTAGGGGGTACCTAATTTTCTAAATCATTATGCAGAATTCTGTTCACCCAGGGGGTCTATTTTCTGTCCTCCAATTCTAGACAATTATATTGTATTGATTTAGAGAAATGCGTATGCAATATTGTCGCTCAAGTCTTATTTTTTAGAGAGAGTGAAAGCCGTTGAACTTCGTCAAAAGAACGCTGATGAGCTGATGAGCGAGATTGAGAAGTACAAGAGAGATCTGGCTACCGTATATAGTGCTTGCTGTTGCCTAATTGCCTAGCTTCGTGTTGCCCAGGTTACTGGAGGAGCTCCCGCGAAGCTTGCTCAGATCAAGACCGTGCGCAAGAACATTGCCCGCGCCTTGACTGTCATGAACATGAAGAAGAGAGCTGCTGTATGGTTTGTCTTTCGCGTTGATGGATAGCTGAAGGAGAAGTATGCTCATGCTAAATATGTCCCTACTGATCTCCGCATGAAGAAGACTCGTGCGATGCGCCGCGCTCTTACCAAGGCGCAGGTAGGGAAGGAATCTTGTTCTGAATGCTAGGCTGCCAAGAAGTCTCTGCGTCAGCAGAAGAGAGAGGCCGCTTTCCCCATGAGAAAGTACGCTCTCAAGGCCTAAGAGAAGCAATTCTGTTTACTCCTTTCTCCAAATCATTATCTTTTGTTTTTTCACAAACACTCCATGCAAACGAATGATTCATGAGGACATCCACCACTTCTTTCCAGTTTTTGCAGCAGATCATGTTCTCATAGTCCTTCGGATCTTCCCTTCGGTTCCATCCGTAAATGCCGAACAGAATGGGGACCTCAACAGTTCCAATGCACTATGCGGTAACAGCAAAAATGAAAATAAACCATACCTCATGTACATAGTTCCAGTTATCGTCAATAAGCACGGAAGCACCAATGATTTTGCACATATCCTTTTTCGTTCTGAATATGAGTCTGCGTCGGATTCAATACCTACATCTTCCTTCCCTCACTGTTCCACAAGTTACCAATATATATATCCTTTATCAAACCCGGAAAATGCTCATTGATCCACTTTCTCGTTATCTCCTCGATGCACTACCGCTCAGAATGACAAAAGATTCGTTACCAGATGGCGAGAAGTCACGATGTATATATCAAACTTCTTGTGCAGCGTGCTGAGAGCTTCAAAAGCACCATCAACAAGGGGAATCTAGCGGTAAGGGCTCAACTCTAAAAGCATGAACTCCGTTCACAAAATAGGGGCTTTGGAAAAACTGCTGCATAATGACTGCTGCCTAAGAGTCACTTCAAAACGGGTAAATCGTACTTCCTCTGCAGTTCCTCCCCATACTTTCCAAAAAGAATAGCTATGAAAGTCGTCAACTGTGTAGTTTGTTCCCTTCAACTCATTATAGAATTTGGCCAGATTCACTACAAACTGCCCCAAGCACTATAATATTATGGACAAACATGTCCATTTGGTACTTCATCAAGATCTAGCCCAATCACCGGTCTCTTCTCTTCCATTCCAAAATCGATTTGAACAAACAGCACACAATGCTACTTTGCTACCTCCTCTTCCTCAGGATCAAGATATATTTCATCGCTACTCTCGCTCTCCCTCCGGTGTTTCTCTCCCTCCTTTTCTGTGTCCTTCGTAGTTCTCGAATTGAGAGAATGCTTGTATTCCTCGCTCTCATGCAGGCTTTTCATCTTCATCTTCTGCCGTAGCGCCACGGTGGACTTATCCCGCATCACCAGCTCGGTGTTGATTCCGTTCGCTGACCGGGCTCTCCCCACCATTTCCAGCATCTGCCCGCTTTGCTCCTCCTCGCCTCCCACCGACATCGAGGTTGCCGTATTCAAGGTTCTGCGCGAGACACTCTCTTCGAGAGAGGAAGCAGAGTTTTGATGGGATGACAAAGGAGGCGAGACTGAGCGAACTCCGGTGAGAGAAGGAACAGGCGAGACGCGCGCCAGCTTGTACGCGAAGGACTGCGCCTTCTGGAAGATTCCGCTTCCATGAAGGCTCGGTACCGGCTCGAGTTCGTCGTTCTTGGAGTTAGCCAGCTCGTTCTGGAGTCGAAGAAGGTCTTCGGTCTCGAGCAACTCGTTATCCGAAAACAAACAACGAATCTGGAAGCGCTGCTCGGTCCCATCGGGCGCGATGCCATAGACCGTGTCTGCTTCTCCTGCAGACCGTGTGGAAGTGGAGGAAGACAAGGATGAGAAGGAAGAAGAAGAAGATGATGATGATGAAGATGAAGATGATGAAAATGATGATGAAGAGGAAGAGGAAGACTTTGATAAATCCACCTCATCTACGGAAAAAATAGTGACACGATCGGTAATAAAGTTGGTGTTGAACCACACAAAGCTGTTTCGATCCACGGGAAGCAATTTCGCTTTGATTGAGATTTTGATATCCCCAGAAAGAGACATGGGAGGGTCGAATTTACAATAAGCGACACGGCGAGAAGCACTGATCCGCATCGGATAGGATTTCAAAATGTAGTGCCGCTCTTCTTTTAGATTTTGATGAGCCAGCCGATCACAATACGACGCCGTGCTTTCCGTTGTGAGAGGATTCATCTTTCCGGTGGTTTCGTCCACCTCATATCCAAACTCGTTCTACACACTGTGAGTCCCTCGCTCGATCTTCCTACCCTGATGATGGTGATCATAAAGGGAGTGGTCGTTTGCTTATCCGTGATCGGAATATCAATATATTCCAAAGACAGAGAATTCCGATTCGGCATCGTATGATCCAACAAATAATCAAAATAGCAAACATAGCGAATTTGCGAAGGACCTGACAAGGCTCATCCCATTCTGCTTTTGCCTACTTGACACTCGCTGAGGCTTAACCTTTCCTCCATTGATGATATCTCGAGACGTTCGTTTGGAAGCAAAAAAGTCAAGAGCAGCATCCGGACATTGCTGAATACACTGGCGAAGCAAGAGAGAAGCGACCACCATTCCGGTGCGGCCTTTTCCTCCTTTACAATGAATCGCGATCACATTCAGAGGGTCTTGTGAAAGCCATTCTGTACACTCGTAAATAATCGCTCGTAATTGGGCTAAGGAACAAGGATTGTGATCCTGAACGCAATAATGAGTATAGCGTCCTCCAAAATAGTATTTCTTTCTTTCTTTATATTCACCTTCTGCGCATAAGTTGAGTCTACACGTTGAGAACTCGCGATCTCTCCCTCCTACACCCAATAGTGACCGCCATGCTTTTCGTTTAGGAAATGTTCCACATCCGAAATGTTGTTGCGCCACACACTTTCCCACTTCGATCCAGGCCACGACATCGCAATAATCCGTGCTACACGTCAAGGCGCGGCTCCATCGATACAGGAAATATAGGTAATGTCCAGATTGCTATCCTTGTCGCGAGCGCGCGATCGATTAAAAATACGTCGAATGTCGTTCGAGAATAACCCCAACAAAAGTTTCCACAGCAAATAGTCCCTAAAAATTCTGCAAAGCAGAAGCAGACGAATCACTCCTTGGAGTGTGGAAGACGCCCTTTGTGGCAAAAAGTAGGAAACGTAAGAGATCACCAGGGCGAGAATATCCAGAATAATGGGGCTCCGAATGGAAAGCTGCATGGGAGACAAACTACGAGGCTTCTACCTTCGCACTGTCGGGCTTCTGCGTCATTACGAACAGGCGAAGGACCCAATCGAAGAAAAATAAAATCGTAACGACAAAGAAAAACGCGCTACGCTCACAAGCACGCTCGATTCCTACCTGAGATGATATTTGCTAAATCCAATAATCGAGATGACAGTGAATAAAAAGTCAAAACTCAGCAGCAAAACAACAAGTCCACGATAAACTACGCCTCACTTACCCCCTTCTTATTCCCACTATAATGTTCACACAACACTGTAATAGCATAGGTCAGCTTCTGTTTCAAACTCATATCCTCGATATCCAGCGAGGACTCGGACCCTCCCATATCCACCACAGCCTGCGCACCGTTTTCCAGTTCTTCCAGCTCCCATCGTTGTTCCTCGAACTTCCGTTGACAAATGATGTTGTAGATTTGAGAGTACGTCACCACGTTGGGATACATGGTCCCCGTTTGCTTCAACACACTATCCTTGTCAGACTTGTTCAGATACACAAGCAATAAGGGGATATTCTGCGAGGATGAAGAGCACGATGAACACACATACACGCTGCGACATCAGCCGAAACGCTCGTCGGAATGACATAGTGCGAGGAACGAAGGGCACACGGACCGTTCGAATCCTGTCGTTCAACTGAACATTCGGATCGTTCCCATTCGCAATATATTCAAAAACACTCTGAGCAGTGAGAAGCTGAATGTTGTAGTCTCGACGAAGCAAGAAGTATTGGATACTAAGCAATTACCCATATTTCAAATACGCACTGTTTCGTAGTAATATCCTCAAGAATAGCGCGAATAGAAGTATCAGGCAGGATCAGAGGGATTGAGTTCGTAATAACCCTTGATATCGATGTGTTCCAGCTAGGGATTATTATTCAAACTTACAGCATACAAAGATTCCTCAAGTGTTGACTTCTTGTGAATCTGATCCTATTTTTTACGGACACACATGATTCTCACTTCAACAGACTGCAACGCTTCAGACTTCATCTTCATAGACATGTCGCGAATGTTACTGTTCAATTCAATTAGATCAATGATCGAACCTTCTTCTGTTGAAGATATTGATCGTACCATTTCACCAACATCGTACTAGTTCATCAAACAAGTAAAAGCAAACCTACATAAACTATTTCCCTGTTCCTAATACGATAGCTACTTCGAATATCCATTCTTTTTAAGAAAACGTAGGAACTGTTACGTTTTTTGGTGTAGTTGTATAAAATAGTTCTAATTTTTGTCACTCCTTATTATTCGTTATTTTGAATTTTACAATACAAATAGGAATAGGTTGTTTGTTATATAGTTTTAAAACTATTTTTGAATATGCACTCATTCTAGTAGTAGTTTTCGCAATTGTTTGCTCCCATCAGACAAGAATTTGCTGTTTTCCAAGGCAATACCCATTTTTAGTATGAGCAATTTATATAACAGATTGATTGATTGATTTTTATTTTGGTGATCTTTCATTTATGTAATTGACACTATGAATATATTAGAATAATCATAATCATAATCATAATTATTGTCGTTTTTACAATACTTTAACATGTGATATTTGTGTTCAATCCCTGAATTGTCAGACAAATCCATCCCCCTATTCTGTCATGTGCTTTGTCGTTGTGATTTTTATTTCTTAATATTTCAAGTTCTATTGTAATATTGAACACATAATTCCTACAATTAGAGTACAATAATACTACATCCTTCAGAGCACACAACTCTCCAACAAACAAAACACATTTTCACATTTTAGAAAACCGATTTACAATATCATTTTGTTTACACCAAGCTCGCAAAGAAGGAATCGATATGGAGTAGTTAATGGCCAACACCTTTTTGAGACCTCCGAAGAACGTGCTTTTGCTTTCAACTCCAAACTGGATTGGCGGATACAAGTCCGACGACAGCAACTTCTCAACGCTCTCCGCCTTCTCCTCCGACTTGTCGATCTTTACGAAGATCTTCCCCTTCTCCAGATTCCAATACAAGTGCGGGAACGCGAAGAACAAGCTCAGCAGCTGCATTCTCAGCTCGACGGGCTTCATTTTCCTTCCATCCACGTCTACCTCTCAGCCGCTCCATCCTCAATCGCTACAGAAACTCTTCGAATCCGGACTGATCCACCGATGCGTCGGTCCGTACACACGTTCGCACTCCGCAACGGCGCACACGCCCTCGTAGAGCTGTTCGAGGTAGAGGGACGACTGCAGTTCTTGCCGTCTAGGCTAGAAAAACACAGAACACAAGAGTACTTCCGGCGATCTTTGTACTCTTCTTGCGTTTGAATGAGCTCGTTATAGCGAGTTCGCCACAATTTGCTCCCGTCGCACACCGTGGCCACTGCGAAATAGACGTCCGGAGTCATGGTTCCCTTCTCGTCTCGTACCACGTGGTACAGATCTAAAAGACGCTTGTAATTCCCCGTCTTCTCCATCGCGTAAATCACCGAGGAAACGGTCATCGGCGTTCGGAGAGAGGTCTTCCAGCGAGGAGTCACGCTGTTCTCCATGCACCAATCATACAGCTCGATCGCTTCTTTGTAGTATCCGCCATCGATGTATCCTGCGTGTGAGTAGTAGAGCTGCGAAGTCCAACCGTTCAGCAAGGAGGACAAAATCACGGGATTGAAAAATCGGCTCTTTGGCCAGGAATCGAGAATGACGCGAGCTTCCTCCAGCTTCTTTACGGAGATCAGCGTGCTCACTTGTTGCGCTAGAACGTAGAGGAGCGCTCCTTCAAATACCTTCAAGAACTGGGTTTTTACACAGCCGTTTCATGAATCCGCTATGCAGACTTTGAGAAACCGGGTCTGGAGAAAGAATATTGGCGATGAGCGTGGTGATTCGGATATTCTTCTGGACGGAGGCAGCTTTGAAGATGAGCTCTGCAGAAGAACGCAATGCACTCATTCTCTACCATTCACTTTCGGTAACCAAACCCCTCACTTCCAGCAAGTTTAGTACTTCTGTCATGTCAATAATGTTCTGATAGTATTTCCTCTGGAGAAGATAGCGGAAAACAAGGTTGATTTCCTAAAATCGCACGAAAAGAAGACACCTTGCCTGGTCTGTGAGAGAATTCTCCTTATCTAACACCCGCATAATATCCTCCTTATACTATAACAAATCAGCAACGAAAAGAGGAATACTCGTCCTCTGTTGGGATCATTGTGTAAAATGATTTTGATGGCTTTTTGTTTTTCCTCTTCGACTTCACTCGCCATTTCTTTTGATCTTGTTTTGTCTTCGAGTTGAGAAATGCTACAACTCACTCTTGCCCCACTTCCAAATACAGCGAATACATCCGGCGAATCTCTTTGCTCGTTTGACTCACCTGCCATTGCTTTCCTAGAGACTTGACTGAATGGGGCAAACACTGCCTCCACCGGAAGCAATAGGATAGGAGCCGCACTGAGCAGACTCCCCCACGACAAAGCATGCAGTGTTTGAAAGAAACAAAGGAATGTCTAATGGGATTTGGTGAACAACTCTTCAATTCGGTCAAACGGATAAATCGACGTTCCGTGGCCATCCGACCACTGCACACTGATTCCATAATTTCCCTCATAGTCAATATTCAGCGGAACGACATCTTTCGGCACATCGCTTTCCTTCAAAAGCTTCTTCCCCGTAAATTCATCGACGCACTTCGAGCACTGACACTGCATTCTCAGTACAATCAAGGAAGCTCTCCTTCAAGCCACTCCTCACTCACATTTCATGCATCAAAGATATGTTTTCTCGGATCGATCTTGACTTCTTCCGCGCTGGTCGGCGAGAATTTTCGCATCACGATTCCTTCATCCTTCTTAAACGACACGTCGAAGGTCGTTCCCTGAATGTACCGACGTCGAATCATATCACCGATCAACTAGCCGTCAGCACTCACTCGAATCCGCACCGATTCCGCGAGATTGTTGAAGATATCGCTCACCTGAGATTCGGGATGCGAGACCACAACCGGCAATTCCTCGCTTTTCGAGAGCGACAAATCGATCGGCAGCGAGAACGTGTTCTTGATCGCGAACTGCTTCTGCAGTCTGTCTCGATTGGAGGTTCCTGAAGTCGTGATTCTTCCCCAATCCCCACCGAACGGATAATACGTCTCGCCGTGCTTGCATTTGAAGAAGCTCATGTTCTCCACCAGCGCGTTGATCGGAACCTTCAGCTTGCCGAACATGCGGATTCCCTTCTCGGTGTCCGCCACGGAGAGGATCTGCGGCGTTGTAACGATCACACTCCCGGAAAGCGATAGCTTCTGACACAGAGAGAGCTGCACATCGCCGGTTCCGGGAGGCAGATCGAGGATCAGATAGTCGAGGTCGCCCCACATGGTGTTGTTGAGAATCTGCTCGATGATCGACATGACCATGGGGCCACGCATGATGTTCGAACTGGTCATGTTGCTCATCCAGCCGAACGACATGCACAGCATGTTTTGCAGCTTGAATGGCAGCCAGGACGATTCGTTATACGCCATAACTAATCGATCAGAAAGTTATTTAAAAGGAAGAACTGCGATCGTTTTCGTGTTTTAGCAGAATCGGAAGCGAGGGACCGAAGATATCGCAGTCCAGGATTCCGACACGGCCTCCGAGCTGCTCCAATCTATCGAGGAATCGGAACGAAAGAGTAAGCGATACGCCAGAGCGAGATTCACGGCGACCGTCGATTTTCCTACTCCTCCTTTACAGCTATCCATGACAAAAGAAGAGAAATCCAACCTGCTGACGGCGATGATATTGCTAACGTGCTTCAGGTGCTCGATCTTGTTGTGACGATCGGTCACGAGGGCGGAAGGACGCTGCGATTTGAGGTTGATATTCACCTCCATCGGGTTTAACCACTGAATCGAGCGAAGTGCCTCTCTGCAGTTCAACGTCAACTAGAATCGTCACAAATCATGAAGCCCTCACCTCATCTCGCTTAACGTATGCATTTGTAACTGTTTCAATATCAAAATTAACTCCGCGCTCGGTGGGTGTGATGTTCTTAACCCAGTTTAGACTTTTCAGAGGTTTGTTGGTGTAGGGCTCGATTACCTAAGAGTAAATGCGAGCAATCCAGAGAGGCTACACTGTTGAGCACATTGCGCACTTCTTCGGTACGAGATGCTTGCTCGACCGGATTAAGCGTAGAAAAGCAGGAAACAAATACTCTTCTCGCGGGCAACAACGAGCGAATGGTTCTGAGTGACGAAAGCATCTGAATAACTCAAAAATATGTTCGAAATATCGCTTGTTTTGGTAAAGAGTTTTTGTCGAAACTCTATTCATTTGTACCCCACTGACCTTTATTGGCTTCTTTTCTGTCACTCGAGCGAAGAGAAGCGTAAATCATGGCCGAAGAGAATACTTGGATCGACTTCTCAAATGCATCATCTTGGGAAGAGAGTGTATCGAAACTCGAAGAAATCTTCTCAAAGTTCCGAATCGGTATTCACTCAACCGGTACGTTCTGCTTCCATCGGTTTTCACCTTTCAGCGAGTAATGAAGAAATTAATCATTTGGACGAGTGGTTCGTGTTCGAGGGACTCCACTATCTCGTATCGTACTATTATTCGAACTATGAAAGTTCCTGGAGCGAGGGTATGCGTTTCTTTTGCTATTTCCATCACTCACTTTGTGTGTAGACCACCTCCATTGGCCGGTGTACATGTCTGAGATGGTCGAAATGAAATCGGGCGCAATCGCTGATAAAAGCACAATTTTCGCAGATTTTCATATTTCAGAATATATCTACATCCGTCTAGTATGCAGTTTCTTTTCTTCTTGTTCCCTTTCAGGAGAGTAACGACTTGCGCTCGTACAACGATCTGAACCGTTCGAAATTGCTATTATCCACGGCAGTTCTAGCCATGCGGACGCAGGAATGCCCCATCCCGATCTTCGTAGAGGTAGTCGATCACCCTCTTCTTTCATTCCAGGGAGTTCCATCGAGTTCGCCTCTGCTGGGAAGCTATTACCCTCACTACGGAGAGCGTGGTTGTAACACGACCTTTTCCTCATCGTTCTATCGGCGTTGCCCCGATTTCTGTACCGACATTCCCTCCCTTGTGTCCTGGTTCTCCTGCCAAACCAACGCTCCCCAAGACGACATCGTGGTTTCGCGTAGCTACGACTGGATTGTGACGTACTCCTCGCACGCTTCCTGGCGATTCAACCAGATGGACAAGGAGGTGCAGCAACGCCAGCAGCCCGTGCTGTTCATGCTGCAAGGCTTCTCCTCCGTGGCGCTGTGGGGTCCGTCCATCTGTCCGCTCTCGGCCTTGTCGCTCTCCATCACGATGCCTCCCGTCGAATTCGTTTGCCCTCTTCGAAACGAGTTGATTGTAGGGGAGAATGCCTCCCTCCGACCCGATGGAATCGCTCCATTTCTGGGTGAAAAGCAGCTATGCCGAGATCAAGAAGCTCCCGCTCTCTTGCATGTACCAATCGATGCTGAAGTGTTGGTACGAGGCTGCTTCCGCAGGCACGCGCCAGATGCTGTTCTCGATGGGGCAGAAGTATTACACGCAGCTTCTCTCCGAGGAGGCGCGAATGCAGCGTTCTGAGTGTGCAATGGATGTGACATGTAGACTCCGGAACCACGATGTTTTCGAATATGATGGAGCTTCTGACTGGAGTAAGCGCGGTCTGCCGCTCCCTAAAGTTTTAGAATCATTCCGTGAGCACGGAGGCCGTGGTGGACGCGATCAAGTACATTTTCACGAAGCGAATCCAAGTGGACGGCGAGACGCTTGTCGAAGACGTGGAGCGTTCGGATTTCACGCCGCAAGACTATCTAATCGAGGTGGTGGACTCCAATCCTTTCGATGGTTCTGATGGTTCTGATGGTTCTGATGGTTCTGATGCTTCCGACTCCTTCAGCAACGATCCAGCCTACCGCAATTCGCATTCTCGCCCCAGCAACGCGGAGGACGATCCTGACCAGCCCATTCGGATGAAAGAGCGAATCGTGGAAACAGGGGAAGGAAAGTACCGTCAGCGCTGGCGACGTACGCATTGATTGTGCTGTCGGACGTAGTGCGAAGCGTTCCGGGCAGTTACCACATTCCGCGCAAGGTGAACTCGCCTTCCGCGTACGACTGGATCGTCCATTCGGCGCCTCCGAATAGCCTCGTCACGTTTATCAGCATGCGAGCCGCGGAGATCGTCGGGGATCGTGCTCTCCTTCCAAACCTTCTCTCTAGACCCTCTTCTAACGCTCTCGCTGTTCTGGTATCTTCTTGAGACGGTCGTGGAGTGCCACTACACGCAGACTTCGCTTCTGCCGCACTTGGATTGCGTTCTGGACTCGACGGACAATGTGTGCAGAGCCAGACCGCCGCTGCCGTCGCTTCAGTACAATCTGCTGCATCAGAAGCTGTCGCTGTTGAATTGCTGCATTGAAGAGAAGCGAAACAACGCGCATAGCGACGATCTGAGCGAGAGCGATGACGACGATCCCATTTACTTTGACCAGTACCAAACCCCACTCACAGACGAGTCGCTTTCTCCCAACCCTCAAACCCCTTCGATTGAGCCAGCCATTCCTCCTACAAATGGACCTTCTTCATTGGACACTCGCGAGACTTCTTCATTGGACACTCGTGAATCTCCCTCCGTCTCTACTCACGAATCTCCCTCCGTCTCTGCTCACGAATCTCCCTCATACCCCACCCCGCAGCCCTCCTCGGCTGCCCCCGATTCCCCTCGCGGCTCTTCGTCGTCTGCGCGCGCCGAGCCCGCTGCGCCGTCTGTGAAGGTTCCTCTGGGCAAGGGGATCTACAACTGGAGCGGCTGGTACCTTCTGGGCTCCCACGAGCCCTGCTGGATCCCCATCACGAAGGACAAGGACATTCTCACGGTCCCTCTGATCGCACCCCCTCACTCCTAGGAAGACAAGCTCCACCGACAGCAGGAAAAGATCTCGCAGTCGGCGGAGAAGGTCAACATCATTCGCGACGAGTTCGTCGAAACGGTCGTGGACGACATCGAGACCTTCAAAGCCGCCAATCCGCTCTCCCACTTCGAGGATTTCGTTCGGTGGCACAGTCCGCGCGACTGGTCTCCCAAAGAAGGCCAGGGTTCGCTTCCTTGATCGTCTGAACGCGTAGTGTTCGGAGAGTTATCCACGCGCATGAAGGGAAACAACCCGCTCCGAACGCTCTTCGATCGCACGCAGGGCGTTACGGCGTCGCGGCAGAAGCCTCTGTTCAAGCCCGAATTGGAAGGAGAAGTGGTGCTGGACTATCTGCGAACGGTTTCTCCTGCGTCCGTAATGCAATGTTTGCTTCCTCCATTCCTTGGAGGTGTTTGTTACATCTTCGATCACGCAGAGCCGATGAAAACGCAGCTGCCGATTCTGCTCGAAGAGATGGAGAAGCTGCGAAGTGTCATCAAGGAAGTGAGCTTGTCGATCGATCAGAGCGGGGAATGCTCTGAAGATTTGTTTGTTTCGTGTGGAGAATCGATCTTCCGAATGGAGAAACTCATGACTCGAGCTTCCGCTCTTTTGACACAGTTGAGCGGAGATACCAAGCTCGTTGAGTGCTTGCTGCGCAAAGAGTTGGTGGATGCGAGCGGGGAATTGAGGGAGAGCCGATCGAATCTGACCAAATTAATTCGAACCAAGCTGGAGGCACATGATGCTGATGCCTGCGAATATCTGTTAATAGGGGAGAGTAGGAAGAGCAGTGAGAGTGCTCAGTTGGATAATGATATGAGATGCGTTGGACACCGTGTGTAGGCACTGTTTGGAGGGATGAGTCGTAGGAAAGTGGAAAAGAATGCAAGCCGGGTTATTGTATCTTCAGCCATTAGTTCTTGTGATATATTCAGTGATTTGATTGTTTGTTGGATATGGAGGAGTGATGACGAGGGACCTTATTGAAGATAATCATAGAAATTGTGTGAAACTACAAAAATCCCATCTAGTTTATGCATGTACCACCACGCTAACGTTGCAAAACGATAGTCCGTCGAACATAGTTTCTTTGTGGAATATTTCAGTGATAATTTGTGTGCATCCAGGGATCTATGTCGATCAAACAAGTGGATAGAACAGTATTTTCTGCCTCAAGACACAGCGACTCGGATCAGGTTTTTCGTAGTTTGTTATTTTTGCAACGAATCGGCTCTTATATGACCTCCACAATTAGCTGGAGAGAATCCGAAGTATCGTCTTTTCTTCCTTTTCATGTAGGTTGCAACCGATTTAAAGTTGCTAGATGTCACAAGTAAAGCACTAGAATCGAATTCGATCTATCACCACTTCCCTGGAGATAATCACTACTATTTCGACGCTTCTTCAAAGATTTCTATTATATATGAGAAGAATTTGCTAATTCTATGCCTTGATTTTACCCAGGGCATGCTAACTCTGAACCCACAAACTGGAAAGACATACTCAGATGAAGTCTTAGAGAATTTGGAGAGCACCCTCGCATCTCTATTCAAATCTCGCAAAGATATTGAACATTCTCCAGATTCGCCCATTGACTTCTGTTCGAGATACAGCATCTCTTCTATCAATCTGACCGTTCTCACCATCAACGAATACAGCTGCAAGTGCATTTTATTCAACAAAGAAACGACGCGTGATTCCATTTCGGAAGTGGCTTCGATCATTCGCAGCAGTCCCCACGTAAAGCATCAGATGATGGACTGTGTCAGAAATACGCAAACAGACGTGCTGTACAATCTGTTCTACCAATGCCTGTTTCTCATTCAGAACATGGATGACAGCTATGCGAAGTCCATCCTCCTGATCAGCCGATGTACCCTTCTTTCACAAAATCGGATCATATCTAGGCGACTTCGATATGTCTTCCCATCTCTCCCAGTCCCTCCTGCTCTTGCTCCAGCGTCAGGATTGTCCTCTTCATATTCTCTACATCCACGCAGAATATTCGTACAACACATTCCACACCACCAATTTCTATCAACTCAAATCGATCACTCGCTTTATAGGCGGAAAGATTTGGCCATCGCTCTCTTCGATTCTCTTCTTTCGATCGGTGTCTATCCGAGGCCGCCGAACTCCGACCTACGTGTATCCTTGCTTCGAATCAACGGTTTTACCGGCTCAAACGATCCCTATGTTTCGACACAAGTTCAATGCACATTTGGATTTGTTCATTCGATCGTTGCTGCGTGATGGATGGCAGATCGAGAATGTTGCCGTGCTGAAGAAGACGTATTCGCTGATCTTTCCGTTGAAC